TCCCAATTAAATTTATGACAATATTCAAATTGATGTTGTGAGACCACATTGTGAGCGCTATTTAATTTTTTAATGTTAGTTTTATGTTTATTTATTCCAGCTTTAACTTTCCTTTTAGTTTGGTCCACGTAAGAGAGATGTTTTTTTTATATGAATCTTTCATCGATTAAATCGAACACCATACATGTCGAATCATTATTTTTCCTACAATTTTTGATTTTAAGGTACACGAATAATTGCACTTATTATATATAAATATAACAAGAAAATATATTGACCTTATACAGATGATTAATTAAACTACTTGTATCACGAAAATATATTAAGAGGAAAAAAGGAAAAAAGGGATTTTCGCGTGAGACTACCAGCGTACTGTCCGCGCATTTTATTTTTTCCGTTGAGCAACAGTATGTACGTTATTTAAAATAAATAAGATGAAACTACAATATTTTTAAAATAATTTACTTTATAAGTTATGGTATAATTAAAAGTGTTACAATTAATTTCATTATAACATAACATCTTAAATTAAAAGACGTACATATTGGCCGAGAGTGGATACTTTCACATTCACAAATTTGAATGCGAGCAACCGAAATATGCTTTCTCGGCCTCTCGGCTCTCGACGTCAGGCGTGTATCAGGAGACATGGAGGCATGGGAACATTCTAAATAACATAAGTTTTAATAAATTGTAATAAATTGTAATATACCCCTCCCAGAATATTATAAATCGTGTCAAAACGCGATAATTGACAGGAGATTAATTGTTTATGATTTTCCATTCGTATTATGTACTACGGTCATAAATTCGATCCGCAAGAAATTGGCGTGGTCGAGCGCGTAAGGTGTGAGATCGGAAATAAGTACTATAATTAGTAGTAAACATATGTATTAGATCAAGTATATTTTCATATAATTTTTGAAATTATTGCTCGTATGTGTAATTTTGAAGCAATAGTTGTAGGAAAAACCCGATTCGCTTTTCAATAGGCAAATAAAAAATTATTTTAAAATTACACAACATATGAAGGCTTTCAATTGTACACTACAAAATTATATTGGTATCACCTTTATTTATATTATTAATAATCTCGTTTTCAAAATTTTGTTCATTAACAGAATTTTAAATGCGGATGTGATGGTTAGAAAGAAACATTTTATACAAAATATTGATCGACACAAAGCGTATTTGTCATAAACGCAACATCATTAAACATGTTTTTTTTAACAATAGAAGTCAAAACGTGGTTAAACTTAAACAATGTGATTGAAAAGACATACACCACGAGCGCAAGATGTTAGTAGCGAAATATTTATATTTTAATAGATTACCATAGAATAAAAACAATACAATAAAATAGACCTCATATATATATATCACAGTTATATTAATTTTTTCAATTGAAGCGCTATTAATATTATCAATAAATTTCACATTTAATAGAATCTGGAAATTATGTGTTTCAATAAGTTCGACTAACTGTTGTGACAAAAAAACGACAATTGACATCTGGAGTATTTGACATGATTTTATGGACTAAAAAAATTTATAACCTGAGCGTCAAGCTCTTCGAAAATATAATTGTAATTGAGCGTGAAAAATATTTTATCTCATTATTATAACGTGAATAAAATTTATTCGAAATTAGGTGTTTTCAACATGTATGAAAGTTATAACACACATTAATTTTGTAATACTGAAGATAGCCTGATATATGAGGTCTATTTTATTGTATTGTTTTTATTCTATGGTAATCTATTAAAATATAAATATTTCGCTACTAACATCTTGCGCTCGTGGTGTATGTCTTTTCAATCACATTGTTTAAGTTTAACCACGTTTTGACTTCTATTGTTAAAAAAAACATGTTTAATGATGTTGCGTTTATGACAAATACGCTTTGTCGATCAATATTTTGTATAAAATGTTTCTTTCTAACCATCACATCCGCATTTAAAATTCTGTTAATGAACAAAATTTTGAAAATGAGATTATTAATAATATAAATAAAGGTGATACCAATATAATTTTGTAGTGTATAATTGAAAGCCTACATATGTTGTGTAATTTTAAAATAATTTTTTATTTGCCTATTGAAAAGCGAATCGGGTTTTTCCTACAACTATTGCTTCAAAATTACACATACGAGCAATAATTTCAAAAATTATATGAAAATATACTTGATCTAATACATATGTTTACTACTAATTATAGTACTTATTTCCGATCTCACACCTTACGCGCTCGACCACGCCAATTTCTTGCGGATCGAATTTATGACCGTAGTACATAATACGAATGGAAAATCATAAACAATTAATCTCCTGTCAATTATCGCGTTTTGACACGATTTAGAATATTCTGGGAGGGGTATATTACAATTTATTACAATTTATTAAAACTTATGTTATTTAGAATGTTCCCATGCCTCCATGTCTCCTGATACACGCCTGACGTCGAGAGCCGAGAGGCCGAGAAAGCATATTTCGGTTGCTCGACGCTCGCTTGAGTGAAACAATGTTCTCTCTCGTTCTCAGTGTGCCGACAAGGCAAGCAATAAGAACGTAGTGCAAAAAGGACAGAGCGATAATAGTAGGCACGCTTCTAACTAACGAAGTCACACGGACACGGGCTCATGCTTGTGTTGCTACCGGTTGCGCCAGGCCGCCGAACGGTGGCGTTGATCGCGTGCTGCAAGCGGCCCGGAATTCGCATCACTGCTCGGAAGTTGCTCATTTCGGGCAGATTTCTGAGGCGACCCCCACTACCACTCGAAACTCGACGGCCGAGCCCACGTGACGCTGTGCCCCAGGAGCGTCGCGATACAAAAAGTTTGCTGGGAGCATATCTTCTGGCAAATATCATTAAAATATTTTCTTTCTACATAATTTTTATTTTAATATTTAAATTTTTTATTATTAACATATTATGTGTGTATTCTACAATAGTAGGGTAGTAGGTAGTAGGGGTCGCCTCAGGAATCTGCCCGAAATGGGCAATTAATTCCGAGCACTGATCTGGAATATCATAACGTTCTAGCACAAGTCGGCATTGTCTCCAGGCGAAGATACACACCTACGCAAGCACATAAAATCATCGCACTCGTCAAAAAAACAGTTTATTTAGAAAACGTGTTCCTATCTGCATGCAAGAAATCCACGAATATAAATTGTCAACAGTTCGACACACTTCTCACTACCCACGGAAATCTTAATGCACCTGCAGTAACGCTCAATCTTATCCACGATTTTCTTTGCCCAATAATAGTCGTCCTTTATTACATTGAAATTTATATTTTTGTAGTCGTCGTTCTTACATTCTTCTTCGCGTATATATTTTTCGTCATGTGTGTAATGACCAGTCGAAAGGGGTTCTTCTTTGATAATGACTCCCTGTTTCTCATCTCTGTTTTCGATCGCGTAGAAATTGCATCGGAGATATTTGCACATCTTTGTCTCTCCTCCGCGGATCACTGAGAACGTACATCACATCTTCTACACTGTTTTTACATACTTTTGAACATCGTGTCTCGTTCTACTTGCTCGTAGTTTTCCATATCTCTTTTTTTTAAATTACGTCGTATTCTTCCACGGAGCACTTGCATGTGACGCGTTGCACCGCCGCGATATTTCTAGATTGTTATAATGTTCTAGCACGTTGTCATTATTATATTTGTTTGCAAAACTGTTCACACTCAAAGCATTGATCATCGCACCTATCAAAAAAACAGTTTTAGTGTAGGATTCTTATTGGGATCACAAAACTCCGTCCATATATCAGCAGTTCGACGCACTTTTCACTACCCGCAGGAATCTTAATGCAGTAACGCTCGCTCTTATACGCGATTTTGTTCGCTCAATAATAATCGTTCTTTATTACATTTCTATTTCACTGTCTCTTTCATACTCATCATCCTCATAACATTAGTCTCGTAACCGCGGATACACTTTCTGTCGCGTAAATAAAGATCAGTCAGAAACGAGCTTTCTGATAATAACTCCCTGTTTTTCACTGCATACTTAATTCTCGTAGGCACTGCACTGGCGATATTCGTACACCTTTGTCTCTCCTCTGCGGATTACCGAGAACGTACAGCACATCTACATTATAGTCTTCACACATATTTTGCGTGTCTCGTTCACAATACTGTTATAATAGTTTTTAATTTAAGGCAATAATTTTTCAATTTGTGCAGAGTGGGCATATGTTGCACGGAAATACAATATACATTGGCTTTCTGCAATTCGTGCAAGATCGACCGCCTTTTCTCCGTTTTGTGAAAATTTCGATAAAAATAATCGTTAGGGCAAAATGAGAACATAAAACTCGAACGTTAACGGGCACCGAACGTGACAATATTCAAGAAACATATTTTCCCAACGATATTACAAAAAATAATCAAATAGATTCTCAGAATCGCCTGATCCACGGTAATAAAATTTATAACAAAGATTACAGACCGTGTAGAAAAAAATCCCATTTAAACACGATCGATTTTAGTAAATAAAAAATATAAATGTAGATCAGATATCCTGTGTAGATAAAAGTCATATTTCCAAATGCGTAAAAGCAAGTTGAAGGGCGTTTTCTCGTCAACAACCGGAAGTAAAATAAATGTGGGATTACAAAGTGTAGCTTTTAATTTTTTGTGAATACTGTCCAGACGAGAAAACGCATGTTCAAGTAATAAAAGAGAAATCGGCGACAAAAATATCGGGGGTGCTTTCTACTCGCCTTTGTGCGGATACCTGCACATCCTGCCTTCCACATTTACTGCAGAAGAGTTATGTTTTTTGCTTAGCAGCTGAAACAGCTTGGCGCTTCTCTTAACACGTCGCGACATATCACAGACTGACAGTGTATATCAAAGCTTTTTTCATTCAATCGTAAACTTTAGTTACGAGCGATAAGACATGGATCGAGTAAAAGAATATATATCTCGAAAATTGATCGAGCTTAAGGAGTACCATCCCTTGTCACGAGGTCCGTCAAGTCCATCAAATCCATCGAGGGAAAAAATGAAATATTGGGAATGTCTTGGCGAAAAAGCATCAACGTCATTAACGCTATCAAAGTATAAACCATAAGGTATCGCATTTGACTAGTGCTAATGTATTTTTAATCTTTGCTAGAAAGCGAATAATGATCAAAAAGTTTTTTGTTCTTTTTTTTCAGAAAGCGCTGCTAGTCATATCCGAGTCACCGATCACATTCGAACGTTCCAATTGCGAAAAAAAAAATAATGAAATGAGCAAAATCAATATAAGATGTGAATAAAGAAAAATTCGTTCGCATCACTATATGTATGTACTTTATTTTATTACCCATCCGTTATATTCTTTGCTCCGACGCGCTAGTAAAAAAGATAAAGGAAAAAAGAACACAATGTATTGTGAAAATTAAGTTATAAAAAAAAGAAAGGAAAAAAAGGACGTCACACTTGTACTTATCATCGCGCTCTTTCTTTTTCTAACATGCGAATTCTTGTTACCTACGCATTTTTGTAGTGTCTAGAGTTCTATTGTTCTATAGACTGCAAATATTTTTATTTATGATCTCAAGTGTTTCCCGTGCAGCGCAAAAATAAAATGTATCCTAGGCAGCATTGTTATGGCAAAAGATGCTTCTCAGCATTAGTCTTTGCCGAGTTTTGTCTGCGTGCGCGACACTAGTATAACACAATTTGAGTGGATGCTATCGATTGAGCGTAGAATCTGATCGGTTCTTTATTCAAGTCTAATAAGTCTCAATCCCTCGCAACTCGCGGTCTCGCGTAAAAAGAAATCAGTAATGTCGTTGTGCGTGGCTTAACGCCGAGCTATTGTCGTGTCTCTTGATACTTATATTAAGAACAGCGTATTATAGTATGTTACGATTTTTTAAATTTATAAAAACTGCAAAAAATATTCCGCCATTTAGCGGTTACGTGACTAAATTTGTGTGACTAAAAAAAAAAACATGGAAAACCACGAGCCTCCATGTAAAAATAATAAAATTGTGTGATATCAAGGCAAATAGGAGTCCACGAATAAGGTTACGTAAACATTAAACGTAAACATAAAACTAAAAAAGTGTGCATAAAATGATAAAAATTAACTGTTAGTAGACTAAGACAATATTTAATCAAATCGCATTACATGTTTCGGCTACAAGTTCAAATTCTCCTCAGATGTAAAGAATAATAAAAATATATACTATAAGATGAAACGCAACCGCTAATGAAAAACGCAGAAAATATGTAACATCATATCGAAGATATGCTAGTGTTGAATGAAATACTTGAAACGGACGAAACGAAAATTGCTCGTCAATTGGTTGGAAGATCGATTGAGAAAAAACTTTTTCATTGTACTGTTGGAAAAGAAAAAAAGAAAAAGAAAAAAATTTAGTGAAGGATAACTTCATTTTTTTATGTACGTACTTAAAGAATAAATGCAATGCAAGCAACACAGTTTTTCTTTGGTCAAAGACTCAATCCAAGTATCAGTGACATATATCCATATAAATATCGTCAACAATTTAACAGTCCGAGAATATCCATGGTCAGAAAATAAAAAAATCTTCATACATGATGTCAAAAAAGAAAAACCGTTACACTGTTACGGAGACATAATACGTCTAAGCAATGCGAAAGACGTAACAATATTAAGAACGAACTTGGTGAATATTAAACATTATTTACAATCGAAATGTAGGATACATGTAAGCTCTGTGTCTGTTTGAAGATAAAGACTGTTTTTTTGATATACAGCATCTCAGAGATCAAACGCTTGTTGTAATACGATTCCTCGTCTAAAATACGTGTTGTCCCATCGTGGTCAAGCTGCAATCTGTTATTACTGATCTTGAAGATATGTTCCAGCGTATATGATTTCGATGTTCAGAAATTTTTATTTTCAATTTTTTTCCTGTTTGACCTATGATGTATCGCAATCTCTATAGTTTCTCTTATAACAATGTTTGATTTCGAAAATGCAGTCAAAGAATCTTTGTGTACTTTGATATTTGTTGGGACTGAAGAAAAAAATCTTGACGTCCCCATTGAATCTCTTGAATTTTTCAGTTGTTGTAATATACTCGTATGATACTGTAAGCCAAGAAGACTTGATCGTTAAGTCTGCGTCATTAATAACTTTATCTTTTCTCGATATTCCACGATTAAAAATATTCTTGATTCTGTTATTGATGGTATCAAAAATAAATTTGAGAGGATAAAAAAGCACTATTATCAGCTTCATAGACAAAATTATCCTCTTATTACATCCACAGTTCCAACAAAAAAATTTGATAGATGCTATTTATATTTTCTTAAATAACTGTTATCCTCTCTCATTTATCTTCTTTACAATTGAACAGAGATTAAAATTCCATATATGTAATAAACACATTACACGTAATTTACAAATATTTAAAGACAAATATTTTACGATTCCTTACGTCAAATCTATTTTTGAAAGTTTCCTTCTTATTTCCAGTATAAACTAGCTTTCTATCCCTAACACATTAAAAAGTCTTATTAAAAAGGAAAAGATTAGTTAGATTTTTTATCTAACTAGAACGTAGTTTATAAGATTTCCTGTGACGATTGCGAGGCGAGCTATGTTAGTCAGACAAAAAGAAAATTAAGTACGAGATTACACGAACATATCTTTGAGAGATATTAAAAAGAATACTGGTTCTCCTACTATTATAACTGATCATCGTATCAATTTCGATAATTTTAGATGGAATGAAATAAAAATTTTAGATTGCGAATCTTCGTATAACAAGAAATTAGTGTCTGAAATGATTCATATCAAAAGTCAGAAACAAGGTCTTAATAAAAAGAATGATACTAAATCGTTACCTGAAACTTACTCACAGATTATTCAATCTCTTTTTCCTTTTTAACTACATTCTTTCTCTTTTTACTTCTCCTCTCCCCACTTTCTCTTCCCTCTACTTTATTTTCTCCCACTTATGTTCCCCTTTTTTCTAGTTTATCATTTCAACTTCTTGTCTTGATATGTATATTTTATATTGTCTCTGAATATCTTAGAGAAATAACTATATTTTCAATCTCATCGCATTGCCTAAGAATAGACGACGTTTATATTACATTGATACATAATAGAAGGTATTTATTCTCATTTGATTTAACTGTTTCTAAATTGAATATATATAATTTATGACGGTACATCACAAAATTTTAATTCGTATTAATAACTCTAATGTACATTTCTCATAATATTAGATTACTTTTTTACTTTTATTTTCATTCCTTACTTCTTAGTTTGTATTTCTTTTATTAGATTTGATTACTTATTCCTATTACAATTTTATATTATATTTGTACTTTTTAACAGAAACAAGTATGTTTATCTATAATCTACACAATCCAAAGGAATATATGGTTATCGATCACAACATTCTTATAACATATAACATTTATTGTGTATCGAACGATATTGTTAATTAATATTGCGATCGAGAACAAATTTTTATATATTTTATCTATGTAATATTTTCACTGTTATTTTCATTTACATTGATAATGATTCAACAGGGATCGAAACATTTGGTTTTGTTTTGTTTGTTACGGCAAATTAAAGTTTTATATTTTAACTAACATGTTTATTTATTAACGCCTTCAAATTTTAATTTTATAACGAATAATTTTAGGCTCGTAGACCTTTGTTTTTCTGTTTTTTAAATTTATTAAGCATATTTATAATTTGATTACATATTTAAAATATTTGCAGATAGTAAGACGACATTTGCATAACGTACAAGATTGTTTTTTCCCATGCGCGCGCGTTCAATGAATTTTTTGAAAAATAATCAATAAGAAGGTATCAAATTTATTATGAAATAGACAATAAAATCTTTTTTTTCTCTTTCTCTCTTTCTTTTAATAATTATTATTGAGACAAGTTGCCACCTGGAAAGCAAGCTTTCCTTCTTGTCCGACAAGGAAGGCTCGGGAATGGCTAGCAGTGGTGCCCCGATGAGCAGGTGACCTGGTGTCAGAGCCGTGAGGTCGTCGGAGTCGTCTGAGAGGGCATGCATGGGCCGGGAGTTCAGGCATGCCTCCACTTGTGCAAGCAGGGTGCTCATTTCTTCGAAGGTGAGCCTGGTTTCGCCGATGGTTCGGCGCAGGTGATACTTAGCAGATTTTACGGCCGCCTTCCAGAGTCCACCAAAATGTGGTGCCGAAGGGGGGTTAAAATGCCAATGGATCCCTTCTGATGTAGCGACGTGTGCGATCTTTCGTTCTTCTGACGAGGAGGCTCGGAGCATCTCTCGAAGTTGCCGGTCGGCGCCCGAAAACACAGTCGGGGTGGATGTCCGTGCAAAGTCCTCGGCGAGATGTGAATCGACGGAAAGCAGCCAGAAAGGCGTCGGTGGTGTATGCTGAAACAGCCTCAAGGTGAACGGCCTTGGAGCTAAAACAAATAAAGATTGCGATGAACGCTTTGTGAACGCTGTGCCCACGCCCTTTGTTCGTCCTGATGAAGATTGCAGGAGTCACTCTTCCTGGAGGAAGATTTCCCATTTTCGGTTGTGGAGTGGCAGCCCTCCACCGAGTGCATGTCACGCACTGATGCAGCCATCGCTTGACCACCGCTCGGCCTTGTGGAATCCAGAACCGGAGGCGAAGCATTCCCAAGGTCATCTGACCTCCTCT